TGGGCGGGGAGGGGGGTGCGGGGTTGGGGTAGGCAGGGCCACCGGGCGGGACGGCACCCAATGCCGGCCCTCCACCCAGACGCCCACTAGGGAGGTGCCGGTCCCCACCGTGACGTGACCAGACAGTCGGATGCGGTCTCGTCCACCCGGAGCTACGGCCTGGCACCCACCTGCATCCTCTCCAGGGGCTGGGGCAGGCGGCAGGCCCTGTGGACAAGGTGCACGTGCTCCATGTACTCCGTGATGCGCTGCAGGAAGCTCAGGGGCTCGTTGAAGGCGATGGGCATGGTGATCTTGGACAGCTCCTGCACGGCCGGCAAGGACGGTCATTGTGCCTTCCCCAGACACCGCAGCCCCCGCCCGCCCGCCCTCAGGGTCCCTGCTTGGAGCGGCAGACTGCCCCCCTGGACAAGATCTGAAGTCCCCCTTGTGGGGAGCTGGCCCGGGGGGAAGCACGGCCCTCGCGCCCCACCCTCTGAGCCCCACTCTGTCTGTCCTCCACTTCCTCGTCCACACCCACCGCCCACCAGAACCCCGTCACACATAGAGACAACAGGAGCTCCCAGACCGGCCACGCCCATGGGCCCGCCTCCACGCCAGCGGGCCCTTCAGGCCACTTCCCGATCAGTGGTCCCAAAGCATCATTCAAAAGTCAGTTTCCCCTCACCTCCAGGGTGCCTCGAAACTTCTTAGCCTGGCAAGGGGGACCTCCCATAAGATGGCCCCATGTGGCTTTGCCCAAAGGCCTCTCAAAGTCAGCAAAGGTGTCTCGCTCTGCTACCTGCTCTCAGGGACCAAACAGGCAAAGCGAGCAGTGCGGGGGAGACGCCAGGAAGGTGCTACGGGGGACAGGAAGGGACAGTGCCACGGGGCCGCGTGTGCGCCGGTGCGGGGGGTCCTGGCTGACTTAGACAAGGCGGAGGCCGTTCCAGGAAGCAGCCGGCTGCACAGGGCAGGACGTGAAGGAAAGACGGGCGGTGGCAGGCGAGGGCGGGAGGGGCTGGGGGAGGGCGGCCCGGGCGTGGGAAGGGTACTGGTCTGCACAGCGCAACACGGCCATTCCCCAGCTCGCCTGCTCCCCACACACCTGCCCGGGGTCCAAGTGCTGCAGCCCCCCACCCCGGAAATTCACCCCATCAGAACTGCACACACACTTATCCTGGGGCCCAGGAGCCACGACACCCCACAGATCTCTGGCAAACACATGGCAAAAGGCTAGAAATGACCGAAACGCCCCAAAACAGGGGCGCCAGTAAACCGCGGGGCTGCCAGAGGCGGTGGCACAATGCAGAGACCAGAAGATGAGGCGCAGCCGCGAGGGGCGAGGCAGGGGGGCAGGGGCCGGCCGTTCCTCTGCGGGAACGGGGGGAGACGCGCGGCCGACTTCATGGTGTGTAGGAAGGGATCACAGATGCTGTAACGGCTGCCTCCAGGGGAAGGGGCAGTGCAGGCAGGGGACAGAGACAGGAAGCTGAATGTATGCACAGGAATACACCTCGTTTGACAGACTGGACTTTGGACTTACAATTCTAAAACAAAACTAAATTTAGAAACGCAGCCTCCACACTGACATCAGGAATCAATGAAAGAAAGGAGCCTGTAGGATCCCGCGGGCACGGCCACCTAGAGGAGCCACCCAGGCACCCTCCGAGCACGTGGGATAAAGTGTGCGGGTCACCGGCCCCGTGCTAGTCTATATCCATCGCCTGCAGTGTTAACGACTGTGGCTGTCGGGGGCAGAAGAGACACACGCGCAAGACAGAGAGGCCTGATGAACCCCGTCGGCCTCAATCTGAAGCATCATCGAAACAAATCAAAACACGGGTCCTGACTGTCTCCTCTGAAAAGACCTGGAAACAAGACCAACCCACTCGCCCCCCTGGGGCCTGGCTGTGGTCCTGAGCCCGTGCTCTCCCTGGTCAAGTGACTGACCGCAGGTCCGGGACAACAAAGCTGCAGCATGAGCTGGAGCGTCTTTCGCAAAGGGTTACGGGCCACTGAGAGGCCACCACAAGCCCAGACGGAACAGCTTGTGCTGGCACATGTCAAACAGGTTTGACTCCGTGACTTAAAGACAGAACGAAACTAGACAAATAGCTGATTATGCCAGTCACGCTGGGCGATGCTAGCGGACCAGACGCGTCATTTGAAAGCTTGAGAGAGACCGAATCAGGCACTGGCGGTGGAGGAAGGGGAGGGGCCGGGGAGGGGTGGGAGTGACAGAGCCCGTGCGGCTCCACGTGCACGCGATGCAGAGTGGTCTGGGCTCTGGGCCTCGGTGGCTCTCGAGTTCGGGAGAGCAGCAAAGGTCTGACGGACGGAGACAAACAAGCCCCACCCACCCACCGGCTCAGGACACTGGACGTGTGACACAGTGGGCGCCTGCTGCCATCGAAGCACTGTGTGACCTCCAAAGCAGGAGGACGGACTGCGGTTGTCTCTCAGAGTCCTCCTCCGGGGACTGCTGTCCCCCGGGAGGCGCAGCAAGGACACTCGCACTCGAGAGAGAGGCGAGGAGGAAGCCCCGCCCACGGCCAGTTACAGGCGCCCAGTGCCCAAGCGCCACGTGCCTGGGCTGGGACACAAGCCCCGGTCCTGCAGCCTGCCTGGGGCTCACCCTGGTGTGTGCCCTGGAACCCCACGAAGTCCCTCCGTCTGATGCCAATCACCAGAGCCAGCTGACGAGGCGCACGCCCCGGAACACCGAGGGACACGTGACCCGTGGGACGCTGCTTACGCCAAGTCCTACCGACAGCCGTGTCCTGCTGGCCGCGCGTACCTGGGCTCTGCCCGCCCCCCTCGTGACACGTGCCTTTCGCCCCACTGCCTTCCCTTCGTGCTGTTTGTGGCCAGCGGGGCGCGGGAGCCCAGGGCCGCCCACGGCGGTGGCGACTGAGGCCGGGCCCGCCGCACTCACCAGGCCGATGCAGCGCTTCAGGATGCTCCACACGCTGAAGTCGCTCCTGGTGGACATCGGGGCCGGCAGCGAGGTCCTGGAAGCAGTGACCGGGGACAGGCGTCCGTTAACCCCGCGCGTTCACGTACGACCGACGGCCACTCTCTTCTAATCGTCCTTCCTACAGGCAGCAACTCTCTGCCCTGCCACGGCCGGGGACCAGCCGGCCAGGGAAGTCCCAGCGGACGCCTTCTGCATCGGCTCTTTAGAGGGCCTCCGGGGAAGTCACGACCATGCCCCCAGAGACGCCTCTCCTCCCGCAGAGCTGGGGACAGCAGGGTGCCGGCTGCCTGCAGCACAGCAGGACCACGGACAGGCGGGGCCACAAGGACACCGAGGGAACCACGTGAAGAAAACTTTCCAACACCGGCTGTCCGACCCCTTTAAAAGTGTGTGTGTTTCCCACAGCACACACCGTCTCGGGCAGACTCCCCGCCAGCTGCGACAGGGAGTCCCGCGGTCACGTCTGCACCGGGGCACCGCGTCCACAGTCCACAGGGTCAGGGGACCCCTGGCCCAAGGGGGGCCCCGGTCTCCTTCCTGGGAATTTGGCTGGGATGACACTGGCTCGGCCCAAGAGTGCGGGCCACCTGAGCGGGGTGTAAGTCCAGGTTTCGGGGGGCACGCTGGACCCGTGCACAGTGAGGACAGTGGGCCAGTTGGCCGGGGTGCAGCGTGGGCCGGGAGGGCCACCCGGGCCCTTGACTCCCTGCCTCGCGCCCCAGAAGCCAGCCCAGCTCTCTGTGGCACTCACTTCCCGTCAGCAGCTCTCAACGGGTCTCTGCATTTGCAACGGGGGACCGTGACCCAGCCACCTCCCCTCAGCACCTAGTCTTCAGAATGGTGACAGCACCCGTCCTCGCCCAGGCCGGACTGAGCTCTCCCCCAGGTGGCACGCCAGGGCCGCTGGGTCAGGGCACGTGGGTTATTTTGGGGGACGACAGGGAGAGGAGAGCGGGCGGCGGGAAAGAGCGTGGGGAGGGGCTGGCGTTCACACGGCCCCACCTGGCTGCACCCCCACCCTCGTCGGGCCTTGTGGACCCTGGGGAGCGGCCACCGTGTGGCGGGCACACTGCGGGGGACGAGGGGGGCAGGAGACAGGAGCGGGGAGTAGGCGCTACAGAGCTGGAGGAGGAGAGGGCGTGGGAGACAGAGCCCAGCGTGGGAAAGGCCGGGCTGGGACCAGACAGCGGGAAGGCCAGGCGGGAGGAGTGGGTGCCGGCCCTCGTCCCCTGAGGAGAGCGACCTTGGAGGGCACTGTCCAGACCGAGAGCTCTGAGAGGGGACGGGGGGCGAGCTAGCGGTTACTCAGGCCACACGGGCATCTGTCCGAGACTTCAAACTGAGGAGCTAGACCTGTCCTCTGAACAAATGACTCCGTCCGCGGCAAGACGGGGGGCTGCAGACAGCTCCGAGGGGACTGCCGGGGACACAGGAGACTGGCGTGGGCTGGACTGGGCTGAGACAGAGGAGGCAGGAGAGCTGAAGGGACCCGAGGCAGCTCTGAAGAGGCCAGTGCGCCAGAGCTGGGTGACAGGGCGGGGACGCCGGGGGCAGCACGAGGGCTGACAAGCAATGTCTGGCTGTGGCCCGTGACGTGTCGCCTGCGATCTCACTTCTGTGGGTGAACTCGGGTCACGGCTGCCAGACAGAGAAATGCTGGGCCAGGAGGAAGAAAGGTGGTCCTGCTGCGCCCAGCACCCCTCCGAGACGCCCAGGGGTGACAGGTCCACCCAGGCGGGCGCCCCGCTGGTCGGGGGCCGCAAACAGGCACAGCCTGGTCTCCAGGTGCCACTCGGGATGGAGCTGAAGGGGCGTCCGCGTGCTGGGGCCACACAGAGACCCAGGAGACTGACACACCGTGCCGGACGACGTACCTGCGTCTCTGCACCCCGTTCTCTTGAGGGGGCCTCTCCCCAGCTTTTCCGGCCCCGTTGCACGTGCTGGCGCCCGTGTGGACCACTGTGGTGACTCTGGGATTTGCCTCTGAAAATCCCCCAGGAGACTTATCGGAATCAAAGCCTGCACGAGACAAGCAGAATGGTAATTTTCACGGTGTTCGGAAGATAAAAGCCTCTGAGAATCCCGTGCGGGCAGGAGACCCGAAGCTCCAGATTGTTGTTGACGGACACGATCGGAATAGATAATGAACCTGCTTCCCGAGAGCTAAAGGCAGACGCAGAGGCAGGCCCGCTCAGGGGCCTTTCTGGGGGGACACCCACTCCGGCCCAAATGTCAAACCTTCTCAGTTCTGTACAGGCTCAGTGGCCTGTCACCTGAGGTCCAGCCTTGGGGCTGCGGACACGGCTTCTCCAGCCTCAGTCACTGTCCCACGCCCTCGGGGCCACCTGACCATCCTCAGACCTGTCTTCAGGCGGCAGCAAGCTCTGTGCTCACGTCTGCATCTTGTGCCCAGGCCCCCCAGCTGAACTGGCCCCTCAGGCACAAGGACACTGTGCTTTGCAACTGCCGGGCTCCATCGGTCCCGTGACACCATGGTGGGAGCGACTGCTTTAACTAAAGGAGCACCCTGCGACCTGGAAAACTGGGGAAAGTGAGCTATTTAGGACTTGTGTGAGATACAGCCGGGCACGTCCTCCTAGACCACCCAGTCTCCCCAGTCAGGGCTGCCCACTGGGCCGTGTCCAGGAGCCTTCCCACCAAGGGGGCTTTCTCCCCGAGGAACGGGCGGCTGCGGGGGAGGACAGCATGGTGCCCCCGCCACAGCCAGGACGTGCTGCTCCCGGGCTGGCAGGGGGGCTGCCAGGGTGAGTCCATACCGGCCACAGGACGAGAACGGGAAGGCTCTGCATTATTTGGGGGCGCAGGGTCCCCCAACAGCCCTTATTTCACAGACAGGCAGGCGAGGCCCGGGGTGGAAGGCCAGGCGGGTAACTGCTGTCAGACCCAGATGCTGAGCTGTCCCGAGAGCGAGCGAAAGCGTCTTCTTGCCCCGCTCCCACGCCGGCAGCTCACAAAACGCAGTGCGTGCGCCGTGCAATGACTTTGAAGGGACAAATTAAAAGTAAACCTCTTAAATGACCAACGTTCTCTGAAGTGGCCACAGGCCCCGAATGCAGCGTCTACTTAATCCCCAGTCTGAACACCCTGAAAGGCCCTGGAAGGCCCATCCCCCTGCGCCAGTGGCCCGCCTCCGTGGACCCCCAGTGCCGAGATGTTCGCGGACCGGTCGTTTCTAGTACAGCCAGGCGGGTGCCCAGGGAAACGAGGCCACACGTCAATGGCGATCACGCCGGAGTCCTGTCTCAAACTAAGGACGCTACGCAAACAGGCGTTTGTGGGGGGAAAAGAGGCAACAGGGACGTGAGGAGAAACGACCGCCCGTGACCGGCCCGCGCGGAGCCCGCGGTGACGGCCGGTCTGCGGAGTCCGCGGCCACGGTCTGTGCGTTTTCCTGGTACCAGGAAACCCATCGCTGTAGCGGAGCTGGTTCCCGGAGGACGCATTTGCCTGCGGGAACCCTGCATTTGACAGCTGCCCGGGCTTAGACGCTTCCTGCACCGGGGCCACGAGATGAGCCAGCACCCTGGACAGTGGCGTGGCCGGCTGACTCTCCGAGAGCTGTCCCCTACCCTCGGACGCCTGGCCTTGTTCTCCCCGTGGTCCGTCTGGAAGCGAAGAGCTGAGGAGAGACATGGCTCCCCCGGACGGTGGCCGTGCCCGCCCTGGGCGCACAGCACTGCGGCGTGCAGAGAGGAGGGAACACGTCCGCCCAGATGTGGCACCGCGTGGGGCTCCAGGCCTGTCTGGGAAATATCCCCGGGCGAGCTCGGGACTGTCCAGGGGTCCCAGTCACACTGGCTCCCGGGGTGGGGGGAGCTCTGCACGGGATGGGCACCCCGGGGCCGCGCTCTGCGGGCTAGGACGGGGTGCGTGGCGGTTCCCTGACCGCCCCACTGAGGGGCGCTCGCTGCCAGTGAGTATGAGGTGTGAGCAGGTCAGCACAGACACGCTCTGGGGCACGTCCACAGGGCATGCCGGCCACCAGACACCACGGCACTCAGCAACCCCTCTCCTGGGTTTCCGACGAGAGCAAGTCAGTAACGGGCCTGCCTGTCCATCGCGGCCACGACTGCCTTCGAGGGGGCAGCTCGGCTGGTGCATGACCGCCGCCCCTGAGAGCCGCTGACAGGGCTCCAGGAGATGGCGAGGCCCGTCCAGGGGGACAGTGACAGCCATCAGCAAGGGGCCGCCCGCTGTGCTGGCAGCACGCCGGTCATTTCAGCAGTGACAGCGGCTGTGCCTCCCCCTAGCCATGCGTGGAGAGGCCACGCGGGACTTCGGAGCTGCTACCTCCAGCCCGCTCCGCTGGGGACCACGGTGTCTCCTGAAGCCCTTTCTGCCCACAAGCGCCCTCAAAGAAACAACAAAACGGCATTCTGGACATCAACGGGGGGGGGGCATGGGGAGTGCCTCCCTTGTCCCCGGGGTGTCCTTCCAGCTTAGCGAGGGGCCACTCGAAGCACATGACTCGCCCAGGCCAGCCCATCCTTCCCCACGCACAAGCGTCTGCTCAGCCACAGGCTGCCCGCTAAAAACGGCCATAGGAAAAGCAAAAAGTAACTGAACTTCGAGTATTTTGAAGACTAAAGACCCAGCTGCCTTCTCTTGTTATCTCCGGAGGTCCAAAGTGGAGCTTCCGGCCCAAATCTGGGCGGGGGCCTGGGGACAGGTCACAGCTCCCTCCCGGGTGGCTTTCCTGAGCCGTCCTCACCTCACCTACGCGTGAGACCGGGCTGGACCGGACTGGCCGGGTCCTCCGTCTGCTCACCTGTGACGGCATCGAAGAACTCCTCGTCCCCGTCCATCCTGCAGCAGCGGGCTCCCTTGCCGCCCGGGCCACGGTCCCCTCACTGAATCATCGCGCCCGCCCGACGTCACTGCGAGTGGCCACACGCCGAGAGCTTTTTTTCTTTTTTTTTGGTAAAAGTCCAATAGGTCGTGGAGATCTAAGGGAAAAACGTGTTGGTGCACTCAGCTTGCAGAAGCTGCGCGGGTTAGAAACATTTTTCAAATACCTCGTCATCGGTCCTGAAATCAATCGCAAGTATATCTAAGCAAAGAAGCAAAACGATCTCACAAGAAACATAAACGAGAAGAAACACGTATAAAACAAACACCCATCGAGAGTAGGTCAATAAGTAATCACTATTAGAAGAGTAATTTTTATTTAAAAGCAGAACAACACAACCGATTTGGGGAAAGACACGAACGGGTCCATTTCAGTGAGGTGCTCACACGTCAGGGGCTCACGCATCCCCGGAACTAAGCGGAAAGTCACGCAAACACCCATCAGAAGCAGGCGAGTGGTTATAGATAAATGGAAAATTATGTTAAAATGCTTATTCACATCAACACTAAGCCCATTTGCGGCTCTGGAGAATTAAGACCGCTGTATAAGTTAACTGCTATCAGCAGAAACTGAAATCAACCTAAATTTTCTCAAAATTACTTTAGCTCAGTCTTTTGGTAGAACTCATGCACGCTAACTTCTCATGAAAAGCATTTTAAAATGGCAAGAGACTAAAACAAAAGGTCAACGTTGTCCCCAAAGGTGTGGCTTTTCAGGAAGTAGGCAGAGTCCTATCTTTAACTACATCGGGGACATAAAGATGGAGCCCCGGGCCCACTCCAGCTCCCGGAGTAATGAAGGAGCAGGGACACGCCCGCTGTCCCCAGATGGGCTGCATGGCCCTGGTGGCACCTGCAGAGCAGCTCGGGTCAGGGCTGCGTCCTGTGCACACATGAGCCCCCGCTGGCACCAAAGCAGTTCTTAATTCGCTCCTGTCACCCTCCAAAGCTTCCTGTTTGGACACCAAAGCACAGTCACTCCAGTTATCAGGCAACAGTGGAAGTCTCTCTCCAGCCAAGCACAGCGGCACATGACTTTTCCCACGACCAGCCTGGGACCAGCCTGGGACCAGCCTTTCGTTTGTTCAGTAAAGCACACAGCCGCTTGCTGTGTGTCACACCTGCCTTCTCCTGCTGGCTGCCACCGTCTTTTCTAGAACCTGGAGTCAGAACAGCTTCCCCAGGAACCAACCGTTCTCAAGCACGCTCTCCCCAAAGCACCCCGCCCCACCCGGACCACGCGTCTCCTAGTGCCTTATGAGGCCACTGGTCCCGCCCTCTGGCCCCAGTAGGAGCTGGGGGCCACACAGGTCTGCTGGACCAGGAGCCACTCAGACGCTCCCAAGGCTGGACGGCAAGACGGTTTCTGGAGCAGACAAGAACGAGAAGGTGAGACAGGTGCACGCCCCTCCCCCCACCCTCATTCTTCGCAGCCCGGGCCGAGGGGCAGGCGCTAGCTCAGCCAGCGTGGATCCTGGAGTCCCCCATCTCAAACTAATCCTGCAAGATCCGCCGACACCAAGAGAAACTGGGCAAGGGCGAGATGCACACAAGCACCAGGCGCATCTCCTCACGTCCATGCCGCTCAGACGGTCCCTTCTGACGGCTTCCTCCCACCTGGCTCACCCAGAAGTCAGGGCATGTGTGTCACCAGAAGGTCCACTTGAAAGACCAGCGACGCTCTGAAATTCTGCCAAGCAACCCTAAGTTCTTTTCTGAATTTGGAAAGAAGCACCACAAAGTTCACGGGTGCAGCTAAGTGACCATTTACACGCTTGCCAAGGAGAGCTGCAAGTGTGGGCCCGTCCTCCACACATCTCCAAGGAGGGCTTGACCCCGACAATGCCAACCCCTGAGATTTACAGGCAAAAACACTTTGAAGAAGTGAACATCATAGCAGAGACACAAATCAGTCACCGTGTGGAAACGGCATTTAAAGTGTCAAACTAGAACCTAAAATATTAATTCTTAGGACTTAAATATTTCTTAATAATCAGTCATGTTCAAATACGAGCTTGCTTCTGTCTCAGTAGCTGCAATCACCTTGGAGTGCACCGAGCTTCAGAATCAAGCCTCACCCTTGACGCTGACCAGGGGACGAAGCCCGCGCCCGGCCATCTGCATGCCGTCCTTGGCCCTCGGCTGCGGGACAGCGAATCCTCACAAGTTTGGGGGCCTTTTCATAAGTACAAGCTCACCCGAATAGTCAATTTAGAAGTATTACTGCAACCTTTCAGCGGAATGCAAATCTGCCTACGGAAGCGTCCCTCGGCTTCACTTCTAGATTGCAGTTGTTCATGCCTGTGTGACACTGTTGAGTGGGGTCAGTTTCCATGCTCCCGGGTATCGAGGCCAAAGGTGCACTGAGCACCCAGGTCCCAGGTGTCCGGGCCGAGGGTGCACTGAGCACCCAGGTCCCGGGTGTCGGGGCCAAGGGTGCACTGAGCACCCAGCACCACTCCAGACATGCTCTGTCACATTTCCGTCACGTGTGCTCCTCGCACTAAGCCACCTAACAGGCACAGGCCCTGGGGGCAAGGGCACGTAAGCACTCTCTTGTGCCTGAGAGGGCCAGGCCCGGGGCTCCCCCGCCAGCTGCAGAAAGATCCTCAAAGTCTCGGGTGGAGCCCATCAGCCCCTCGAGGCCACCGCTGCTGCTTTGGCCCTCTGTGCCTTCCACCTGCCACGGCCAAACTCCTAGGGGAAGACGAGGCCTCGGCCCCTCACAGGGACACCCAGGCGGTCATTTGCGAGAGGCAGCTAACTCCACTTAAAGACAATATGAGACTCTGCAGAATGTTTCCAAAATGTCCCCACCAAAGAAAGAAATGTTACTTTTGTAATTAGCTGAATGTAATAAAATTTCGAACGCTGAGCAACTTTAAGTCCGTACCCAGACACATTCGCGGGCGTTCCCTGGCGGGCAAGGGTTAGGGACCGGGACGAAAGTCGCGGCACCCCGAAACATCCCAGCTCACGGGAATGTTACACAACTGGGTATGGCCCCGCGTGGCAGGAGGCGAGGCGGCCAGCGCGACCACACCGCCCGCGCCCAGAGCGAGTTCCAAGCGGCAGCCGCGTCCCTTACGTTCAGGTGCATGCCGGCGCCCCTTCACGCAGGGCCCAGCAAGAACTTTGCCACCAACCACAGCAGGGGCGGCAGGCGGGGAGTTTCAGCAAAGTCTGGGCTAGCCCGGTAAGAATTACCTTACCTCAGGAGAAATGAGATGGTCTTATAAACATTATACATGCTGCACAAGCCACGTTCTGAGGCTTGGCAAGGTGGTGCCATCAGAATGCTCTAAGCAGTGTTGAGGGGACCATGGGAACAGAAAGGCTGGCTTCAAAGGGCAGCGCTGAGGGGCATTCACGAGCGTGAGTGCCACGGCCACACAGCCTCCCTGCTCCATTCACCACGGTGTGGCCTAGAGCAAGTTACTTGACCTCGCTGTCCCTCAGCGTCCACGTGACCAACTAAGGATCACGTACGTGCTGGTCTTGTAGGCCGCGTGGACAGCGATGACCATGCGCTCATGGCCGTCCAGGAACACCTGCTACGGGATCGCCCCGTAGGTAAGGGCTGGTGTTAACGGAAGGACACATGAGCAAACAGGAAAGGTAGGTTCCACCGAGGACATTCCGACGCCCACTTACTCAGCGTTTTAAATGACGACACCACAGCAGGCCCCGTGCTGGACAAGGAGGAAGTGGGGCAAGGAAGGTTCCTGCTCTCGGCAAGCGGAAGGGAACCAACCGTCTGGACCGCTGGCTGCGTGCGGGGCACAGCCGCTTCATCCACTCCCCTGGTCAGCACTGCCAGGTACACGGGGCCTGTCACAGAGCTTCCCACTTACTCAGCGTTTTAAATGACGACACCACAGCAGGCCCCGTGCTGGACAAGGAGGAAGTGGGGCAAGGAAGGTTCCTGCTCTCGGCAAGCGGAAGGGAACCAACCGTCTGGACCGCTGGCTGCGTGCGGGGCACAGCCGCTTCATCCACTCCCCTGGTCACCACTGCCAGGTACACGGGGCCTGTCACAGAGGAAGGAACCGAAGCCACCGCACAGTCAGGAAGGGCCTTCTGCTTGGCGCTGCAGCGAGGAGCACCGAGGACACCTCTGCTCTCTACCTGTGTCCCCTCAACATCTCCAGGGGGCTGGCGAGATCATGCAGCGAGCAGCCGGGGGCACAGTGGCCATTCCAGAAGTGTCTGCTGGACCAAACTGAACGAGACCCGTCTCCAGATGTTCGCAAGCAGTCCCGGAAAAGGGACTGAAGCAAGAGCTGCCGGCTCCCCGTCACAGCGTGTCCCCGACTGACCACTCAGGAGAAACACCCCAAACACAAGCACAGCTTCTTGGGAGGTGACCCCCACTCTCAGAGGTGCCCAGATGTCACACCTCCTGGCTGCTTCTCCCGCACACACCGAGAAACCTGATTTATGATTACCTGCAGGCTCAGTCTGGGCTTACAGACTCATAAAGCCAATAATCAAGAGAATACATCTAAAGACTTATTCTGATGACTGAAATGTAACTGTGGAGGAGGAAGGAACCTTTCAAAATCTGACTGCATATCTAATTTATCTAACACGGATCAGGCGAAGGGTTCCCAGCAGTGACTGCCGTCTGCTAAGGTTGGCAAATAAAAGATAAAACAAAGCAGGGTGCGGTGGGTACAGGCGCGAACCTTCCGGCTGCCGAGAACCCCACAGGTGGTCGCCCCCGGGAGGGGAGGGGCTGGATCGCCAGCCCCAAGACCCACTTTTCACGCCGGGCCCTTCCCTACTGGCCATCACGGACGCCAGAGGCCTTAAATACACGCCCCCCTGCCCGGCGAGCCCACTCTTGATGACCCCTGACGGCTGACGGACTGGCAGGCGCCCCGGCCTCCGTGTTCACCCCAAACCCGACTTCCGGGTGCGGCGGCAGGTCCGGCCCCAGG